CTAGTTTTCGATCTCCAACTCCCTCTACGGACTTCAGATCTTATGGCTACCAAGCTGATTTCTTTTGGAAATCTCTTTCTAATAGTCAACAAAACAGGCTAACACATAAACCACTGTACGAGAAGCACGTGGTAAACACAAAGCCTCATAAACTTGTGTTGTTCACACATTTTGAGTTTAATGAAAAACAATTGACCTAGGGAACCTTTTACTGTGAATCCTGGAATAAAGGAACAATCTGGGGTTTTGGACAAATAACAACAGTGGAATAAGATGGTATTTTCACTATGAAAAGAAGTCTCATTTTCACATTAGTGCTAGAGGAAATTTGCCATAATTATAGACAAACGTGGTGTTCTAGGTTTAAGTAATTTCGTCAGTGCACGCAAGCTGTAATACCGCAAAAATTGCTTGCCATAGATCAACAAGAAAATAAGGGTGGACAGAGGAATAAACAGCATTGTAGAAAAGTATTCCAGATCAAGTAACTATGCTCCACAACGCAAGGGGAGGAGTACTCCATTTACGTGGTTAGCGCTAACCGGAAACTTAGTGATTCCGTTGAAATTATGGATTGTTGATTAATACTATTGGCTTATGTTACAAAAGGCTGTTCTCTGTCACTGATAACTAATCTATAGAAGACTAACCTTTTCTCATTACCATTTTTGCTTATTTTAATATAATACTATTCCTGTTCATTAAAAAAATCTCAGTTAGTGTAAAGTATGATGACACGGACAGACATACTTGTCAAATAAATACACACTAATCGGTCCACATTCATGAGACGTCTAGCTTCTTAAGAATATGATTCCTAACATCTACGGTGCATGAGTCAAGAAACCTATTATCACAGAGATTTTAGTGTCATACTTTTATGACAACGCACACACTACCATAAAAGTAGTTAGTTCTAGTGAAGGACAATAACTACTAAAAAATCTTTAAACCAGTATCAGGTCTACGCAATATGGTCTGAAACAAAATATTGAGGTGATAGTTGCTAAGTGATAAGTAAAAACTGCGTGGTCACACTACTATGCAGCTAATCTACACCGTAAACTGCATAATGCAAAAATGTCACATGCTACCGCGTACGATTTCCAAACATTTGAACTTAAATGTTTCTATTTATATTTGTAACAGGTGCAAAGCTAAATCAATAGTTGGATAGTCAAAAATAATTCCCCGCAAGGATGGTACTTGAGACACTTGTTACATCATGACAGTGTATTTTTCATCCACAGTGCAAAAAAAACCTTCAAATATTAAAGACAAAGGAGGGCAAAATAGCACCATTAGTAATTTTTGCCGAGAAACATCTTTACAAAATGAACAGAGATAGTTCTGATACCATAATTTCTATTCAGTACTTTCAGTTGAAGTGTGTCGGCAAAATGTAGACCAACTTCGGCTTCCATTGAAGTTTCTCAATTGTTATTATGAATAAAAAGATATATATATATATATATATATACAAATTAAGCGTTGCTAAGTCATAACATGTTTAACTGCAGCACAGTTCATTTAATGGTGTCATGATGCCCACGTAACACTTCGACACGCAAAGTGCCTTAATTTCTCCTCCCTTGAAAGCTTTATAATATATAACACGTAGTAACATTTGTAACATTAGAAGCACTATTTGATGTCATTCGAGCTCATTATATATTGTGGTTTCCTAAGTAAATAAATGACCAGAGCTTTCAGTCTTGCTATTACTAAACCAGGTATCCGTGAGAAATCCTTACTCCTAAGCACTAATATGTTTTTAGTACATGAAAAGCTCATATCTACCATTCTCATATTTGCACTGCAAAAGACGTCTTTTTAGTGTACCCACGTGGAAAGAAACTGTATGCAACTGCTTACTCGGTCACATTTCAAAGTAATCAGCACTTATGTATTGCCTCTAGAACCATATTCAGCTGAATAAAAACGAAAGCAACTTCGACGAAAAACTGATTAAATAACCTAGAGCCTGACAAACAGAGAAAAATCCGTGAGACTAATAAGACAGACTAGAAGACTATGAGGTGTGAAATATACAGATGTCGAATAATAGTTAGCATATATTGGATGTAATTCCATATTTGTTTATTAGATGTATCACACAGTGAAACAGTATTATTTACTGGGTGACGTTTCGAACAAAATTTATTGTTCATAACCATATCATATATCACCCAGTAAATAATACTGTTTCACTGTGTGATACATCTAATAAACAAACTAATATGGAACTATTATGGAATTACTTACTACAACAGTGCCCAAGTTTGACACATATATTTATATTGGATGTAATTCTTAATTTTTCTGAAGAATAATTTTCGCCATCCGATATACCTTTCATAGGGAATCTAAGTTTCCTGATTTTAAGAAGCATATAAAATGCACTTGACGGTTTTTGTTCTTTGTTTTTAGCACCCTCAGTCTCCCATGAAAGTTGTATGTGCAATGGACAAGTACTAATGATAAATGTCGCGACGGCTCGAAGCGTTGGAGTTCGAAAACTTACTCAACAAAATTTTTTATCAGCTGCATCACTTATTAATCTACTCTTTTTTACCATGTGATTAGAAACACAACTCCCTCACAATCACGCTTCTTCTACCAGATCTAAGTCGGCCCACGTCCACTGACTTAAACCACTGAGACGGCATTGCTGGCTACAATTTGCGGAATACGGTCAGTGTGGAGGGAATTAACGGTATGTTTTTCATCAATTCAGGAGATGTACTTCATACCACATTTAGTTGAAGATCTCACGCTAATCAATGAGTCTTCCCGGTTGAAGTTGGCAGTAATACGATTCGAAGACTGGTAAGTGCATTGTCACTACTTAAGCAAAACTCAGTCTAAAGACTGAAAACAATGTACGCCCAAAGATATCGGTAAATTCCAAAAGGAGGGGATTCTGGTACATACTGCTTTCAATTATAATCAAATTACATATGCAGTAAGATAATAAGGGTTAGCATAACAATTATGATTCAACATAACTAAGAGGCACAATTTCATGAAAAAGGAATGTTAAGCTGTCGGTTCAAAACCCCTAAGAAGTTAAAGCAATAAGGTGGAAATTTGTAGATTAAGATGGTGACGTTGATGTCTGACCAGCAGACTACGTAATGTGATTAGCACTTCAATATTTAAAAAGACCCATCAATGACAGGGGATTTGCAAATTAAGTGAGTTTGTTCCAGAAACATAGTAGAATAGGAAAATAGCTTCGTGAATACCATGATTCGTGTTTGTCCTAATGAAGATATGTGGGAGAGCAATAATTCGCAGGAGGTTCGACTACGTCACTTGTTGACTTCTGCCTACTGGTTTCAACAAAGTGAATACTACAAAACTAACAACCGCTGAAGTTAGATATTTTCTTCGCTTTGTTGTAGCGGAAACCATCTCTACGAAGTGAACTTACATAAAGCCCGAAAACATCAAATTAACAACAATTACTGACGCATTTAAACCAGCTTTGAGTCGAGTGAGGGCTTAAAATAAACGTTTCCATTTGTTATATCTTATGGCTAATAAGTGAAAAACATAGACATCAAAACTAAACATACCTTAATATCAAAAAGCTATCTATATCGACATATAAGCAACACGTAACTGGAATTTGACCGCTATCGATTTACTAAGTTCAGTAGGTACTTTCCACCACATAAATCGAGAGTCTACTAGAAGTACTTTATTCTGATATGCATTTGTAAAACATGAAAAACCAGGAGCGACTTTCAAGGAAAGAGTGTATGTCTTCTTAAAATTAATGCAGAAGAAAAACCAACTGATAAGCTTGCACATAGGCGTAGAGATAACTAGTGAGTATACTGCAGAAAACGCACCACAGTGAAATGTATTCAAACGTGTGTAATTTAGACAATAACGATACACTGTATTTTAAAAAATGAATGTTGCATACTGTAGCTTTTCATATTACATCCTCGTGCACAGACGACTACATCTGTAGATATTCAAAAATCTGTTACAAAAACTCCGTATGCGTCCAATTTATAATTTTAGTTGGATTACTCTTAGGATGGAGAATGACTTGGAATCTAGAGTAGAAATGATACAGTCCTATTGAACCCCCAAAACTTATTACAAAACACGGACTCAAACGACGATAAATGTACGACTAAAACATCAAGTATCCTGACTATTAATGCTTCAGTTATAGGAAACCATTCCGCAAATAGGACTAGAATCTAACTGGCATGCAAAAGCGAAAAACAACAGACCAGAGAATAACAAAATATTTATCTTTTTCCACAAGGAACATGATATATAATCCACCTTGCGTGGACCAATAAAAAAGCACGTTCAAAACTGAAGTTTAATGTACGGCGCAGACTATACCAATGACTTAAGAACTGGACAAACAAATTATAACTTATTGTTTCGAACCAAGAAAGGCAAAACAAGTTGCAACAAACGGGGACATTTGAGAACTATAGATTTAACACACATTCCATTTGAAATGGGTTTGACCAAATAATGAATTTTATTTTTAGTAAGATAGTAACCAGATTCACATAAGCTAAGGTTAATGCTTTACACTCATTAAAAATGGGATAATCAATGCCAAAGTGGGCATAATCCACATACCAAGAAAAGTTAGTTTTCAGAAATCATTAGAAGTAAAAAGATACTTTATCAACTGAGTGGTCACTTGCAGAATTTAATGGATACATACCTATTTTGCAGTCCATATAAGACAGTTGGAATCCCAGGAACCTGTGGCAACACCTATACCACTGTCAGATACTATTACGCATGAGACTCGATTTTCGTGTGCAGACATAATTCCAACGCGCTCTTCTCTCAAAAGATCCCACACATGGCAATTAAAATCGTCATAACCGGCAAGCAGCAAACGTCCTGACTTTGAAATAGCAACACTACTGCTGCCACAATTTATAAAATCATCGATGTACACGCCAATAGCCTGATCAGCTCGTAAATCCCATAAATGACACGAACCATCATCTGAAGATGAGGCAAAAGCATAAGAATTGATAGGGAAAAAATCGACTCCATTGACATCTTGCTGGTGACCCTCAAAGTATTGCATACCCTCTGAGCAACGAAGATCCCATAGTCGACAAGTGCGATCTGAAGATGCGGAGACAAACATATTGGGCATTTGCTTCGAAACTGCAATGGCGTTAACATCATTGGCATGGCCCCGGAAACTCAGGAGAATTTTCGACTTTTCGATATCCCATAGGGCACAAGTTTTGTCACCTGAACAACTCAATAATCGATGGTCGTCTACAAAGCGAACACATGCAATATAGCCATTATGACCCGTCAACTCACGAAGGAACTCTGCAGTGCCGTCTTGAGACTTCAAACTGAAATACGATATGACATTGTCTAATCCACCACTAGCGACGAAGTTCATAGAAGGAGAGAACGCAGATCCAATAACCCACGCTGTTTTCAATGCAATCATATGAATCTTCTTCCCAGAAAATGTATCCCACACAATCAGTTTCCCATCTTGAGAAGCAGAGAGTAATAACTGGTTGTCTGAACCCCATTGCAGAGATGTTACTTTGGCCAAATGACCTCTTAAATGCTTCCGCACCTTGAACTTGATCCTGCCTAGTTCGGGTACGTTTTCAGTCATTTTGTAGAAATCAGTATCTGCTACAGCTTTCTGTGCATTGGTGATAGAGGCTTTGAGATTTAAATTTCTGCATCCAACGCTTTCTCTTCCTCTGATATTTCTTCATTATATCCTGCAGACGCAATAGATCCTGCTCGGTTAGGGACTTGAGATAGTTCTGAGCTGTATGTGATTTGTTGAGCTACATCCATTACAATTATTTCAAGGTATAAAATATAATGCAACAGACAATTGTACGCGAATTCGTAAAGAGAAACCACTATGACGAGGCATCATAAACATTAGAATCAAAACATGTCAGTTCCCATTGTATATCCATCAGATAATATTTGGTGCATTAATAACTGCCTGGCCAACTTAGATGCTGTCCTAATAAGTGGTAGAAAATCAATAATTATTTTAACCAATCAGAAAAATATTAGCCAAGGCGTGTTAGCCTGTCAATGTATGAAGGCTTAGTTTCCATTGTGACAATTTGAAAGTTAAGTGAGCGTGAGTGAGACATGTTAACTAGAAACACACCCGATTATTACGATCTACTTGTGAAACGGAAATAAAAGTCGGAACAATGCACCAATCAGTATAGGTTCAAGTGTTAGAATTTAATTGGTGGATGGCGACTAGCAGTGGAATCCAGAATGCGCATTTCGTCCTATTTGGGACTCGTATAGGTCCAAGTGTTGTCTAAATTCATTTTGGTTGAGAATGCATCTGGTTTCTAAACCAAGCTGAGATTCATTCTTTTCTTTATATATGTATAATTGATGAAGTTAACTGTGGCATAAAACTAGTCTAATCTGACCGGCTAGAGTAAAGTTGATCTTGATGTCATTTAACATCGAAGTCAAACACGGAAAGTTCGTTGACTTATTCAGCCTGGAAAGCATTAGCAGGTGTTATCGAACAATGGTTCCTTACAATTGGGAATTGCATTGCATTGGGACTACATTAGGATTGCATTTCTGAGGAATTCAATGATGGAATCATTAAATTTAGCCGGAAAGAAATGCCCTACTGTCCACTGACTATGAAAACAGCCTGTTATTCAAGAGCCATTGAATTATGAGCGAGCTGTTATTTGGACACATTCTAAGGCATTTGTATAGCCTAGCAACATGTCAGCTAATTTCTCTCTGAATATAAACAATATGTTAAACTGATTGTCTGTTGCAATCTCAACTACTTAATCTTACTATTACGAGGGCAGAATATGCATTCCTGACTTTGTTTTCTAATCGTTTCTAAGTGAGAGGAAAATGCTGTTAGCAGAGTGGGTTATAAATACTTAATTCTGGGGCATCAATTGGCATCTGGCAAATCTGCGATGGAAAAGCATGCGTCAGTATTGAATTGTGTGGCTTAAATTGTAAGTCTGTTTTTGATAGTATGACTCTTCGTATTCCAGATGAACCCAAAACAACATCAACTTATGATGTAATCCGTCGACTGTAAGCCAAGTGGCATACATAACAACACAGGAAGCAGTATACCAATAAATAGTGATACTGCTCTTGATACTGTTTGTTTCCCAACATGAAATATGAAGAAACTAAAGTAATTACGTGGGACTTGGATGGATTAAAGTCCAAGATTATCCATTATGGAAATGGATGTAGAGGCTCTGAACCTGTCAGCGGTCTACACCACAAAGATAATCTCATGCGTAAGAGAAATCTATATTGTGGTCGTCTCAGGATCTCTGGATTAGGTTTATTCACATACATTTTTTACACACTCATCTCCTAAGATTCCATTTGCTGCCCACAAATAACTGAGCAACAACCTATGTCGGAGTGCATCGCAGAAGTAAACTTGTGGTTAAACTGTCTCTGTAAATATTATTCATTCTTTGCTGAATGATCTAACAGTCCTGCATCCTTATACTCGTCAAGGTAACATTCAATCAGCTCACTACATTCATCACACATTACTAGTTATCGTGATATCTGGTGAAATTGAGTTTTTGTGGTTTTAAGTTCTTAAATCATCCATATTCTCCATGTCACTCGTCTATTATTATGATAATGAAGTTAATTTTACAACTGGTTTGATGACCGAAGGTGAATTTGTTGAGATGAATATGCCTTTTTCATATTCTTCGTATGCCTGTTATATGTTTGTCATGCAAGCTTGTCCTGCATATGGTCTGCAGTTTTATATGAGACTGATCACCAATGAATAACAGGAATTATATTTAAAACAAGTACCACCAGTGGGTCACATAATTTGCGTGCTTGTTAAATATAAATAAGTTTAGATTACTTAAAAACAAAGTAATCAATGCACATAGACAAAATACAGATACCTAACTGAAATCTGATAGTAGAATCAATTGGTTCACTACTCTGTTAATCTGTGACAACAGTTTACAGTAAGAAGTAATTAATTTTTTCGCATTATTTGTTATCTAAGATTACAGCATTTAAGTAGAAATGTATATTTAAAAGTTGAGTCTGTGGAGCTGATAACGATTTCGGGCACCAAAATGATGTTGGCTTGAGACTGTATGTGTGATGAATATTGCTGTACTACGACAGTACACCTATTAATGTGGAATTCAGCAGAGGTTTAATAAAGCAAGAAAGTCTAAATTTACGAAGTTTCTCCTCAGTGCTAATAATAACAATCCACTGAATGATGCCACTACGCATAATAACTGGAAAGTGGATCAAGGCTACGATTTATAAACAGTGTTTAAATAAGGATGGCTTTTCAAGTTAGTTGACAAAACAAAGTTTATCACCCAATTTTCTCAAAAGAATCTCTGGTAAAATTCTGCAAAACTGGTTTTTTTTTGCTGTATTTAAAATTCACCACGTGAACTGCACGTGTCAAAATAGATTATTCCTAACGTGAAATAAATATCTCTTCATTAATATTAGTACTAAATATCTCATACTATAATGCGATTCATTCTATTATTCAGTAATAACTACAGCCTCTAAAAATACAAATTATCGCACAAGTTTGACTGGTTTATTTTACTCAAGACTGCATGAGATATAAGGATTTGCACATAGACACAATACACAAGAACAGCGGTGTAGGTGGACTGTAACCCAGATAGTATGAGTATTCGAATTCACACCTCCATCCAAGTTAGACAGGCCAACATTCATTGCTGAAATATCCACTGAATTATAGTGTATCAACACTGGGGGAGTTATTTGCTTCGTTGGATTATGTTGATACATTTTCTTACTTTATTCCATTATAGATAAGATTTTATTTTGATAAATCACACAGTGTTGTACAGTTATATTAACTGATGAAATTTCGAGCACAAACTATTGCTCATAATCATATCAAGTCACACACAACTTTTTACTTTATATATATATATATATATATATATACTTTATCAGAGTGCCCAAGTTTTATACTTATATCAATAATCTTCTTACTTCCCCAAAATTTAAACGACAGTAGTGTAATACCTGTTACTTTCTGAAGGTGTTTGATCTTGATAAATCTGAGGTTGTGTCCACATTTGGGGATGAACTAATTGGTGAAGTTAACATAATGAAATGACACGTTGAACGATCATTAGAAAATAACTTATGGTGTCATAAACCTGGATTTTGATGGTTTATTACGTAAAATAGCACATTCCTCATGACTTTACTAAATGATCATCAGAATGTTAAGCCTATTTATAAAGCAAAGTTGAATGCTGATAGTTCTCAGAGGCTTATAAAGCGGTTTTTGATACAGTGAAAGAATATAACTATTTTTGAACAATATTTTGTTTCAGACATCACTATTTCCTTGACAAAATGACCTAAATTAAGGGATCTACCAGCTAACACCCGTGAAATATTAGATCCAAATGAGCTATTTATCATTAGTATAGTAATAATAATCTTTTTCATTTTTTCTTCATTTCCCTATCATCATTTACCTCATTTTTTCTTTATCATTGGATGTAGAGAGGGAGAAAGAAGTAGTAAATGTGGGTACAAGAAATATCTCAAAAATAGATAAATTACTTAGGCGTTTATTTGCACTATACTCACATAAAACAAGAATTGAACACTGCCTTAAACTCCGCCTCTGGATATTCAGAATCCTGTAGCCTCCAAAAAAATTCTTGTCCTGTAATGGTAAAAAGCGTGAAATGAGTAACTTAACCAATCATATCAATTTTCTAAGCATTGAATAAAAAGAAGAGAGATCGATATCTACATCCAACAGATTAAACATAAGTTAATCCGATGAGGCCACTGAGTTTAAAAAATAAAACCTTTTATCAGTTCGGTTGACAAAAGAAAACAAAAACAAGAGAATAGCAGAAACTATGTATGTAGAGATAAAGAACTGTTGTTCAAAACAAATGATAAGTCAGGTGTAAAAAAGTTAAATACTCTGATAAAACTCGAAATGAAAAGACTAAATGTTTTATATAATCAAAGATTTTTGTCATGTAAAACCCCTTTTAATTTGTGGAAACTTTTCAAAGAAATTACTGGCGGTAAGCGATGTACTTCTGTTCCATCTCTTAATGTCGACACTCTTAATAAGTCTTTCATACGCCCTTCTGTTGATATCCTTCCTAATGATACAAATCATGTTGACAATAATTTTAGTGGTTTTAATACCCTTGATGTGCTTAAATATCTCCGGTCTCTTAAGCCTTCTCAAAGCCTTGGTCCTGATGGCATACCTGCCATTGTCCTCAGGAATTGTGCTGATATTTTGTGTTACCCTCTCACTAACATTTTTAATGCTTCTTTTTCCGGCAACGTTCTACCTTTTACATGGAAAAACATTAAAATTATCCCCGTACCAAAACTATCTTCTGGTATTGATATTAAATTTCGGCCTATTGCAATTACTTCTCCTTTTTTAAAATTGATGGAAAAGTTACTTTTCCTTCGTCTTGAACCTTCATTGATACCTTTTAATGATCCTAAACAATTTGCATACAAACATGATAGAAGTACTTTGGATGCTGCAGTTGTCCTATATCACAATGTTGTCTCTTGTTTAGACAAAGGTGC